TGTTTCCCTGTTGTCAACATACTTGCCAGAAACGGCGCTCTATTTGCCAGAAAAGGGCACACCTGAAGCTAACAAACAAAAGGCCGAAAGCTCTCTCATCCTCCGAACAGCGAGGTATCAAGCCAAGTGCAAAGCACGAATTGGAATGGATCAAGATATTCCACTCCCTCATCTGGACAGATTTGATCACGTCCAAACTCCCTAGCAAAGCATCGTCAACCAATGCCAGCTGCAGATTTGCTACACACCCAGTTGTAGTGCAACCCCTCTGTGGAAGAAATTCACTGTTGTGAACAAGAACAAGAATATGGTAGAATACCAGGGGCAAGAGCCCACAACTTCCTGCTTATCCGTTAGTCACCCAGGGAGAGGGATAAAAAATGAGAGATTGAAGAATAGAGAGATGTGCGCTGAGAGGAAAAGCGAGGAAAGGTTTCGAGAGAAAAACCGAGCTTAAGGGCCGAGTGATGTGAGAATAACAAATAAGAAAGGGTGGGAACAATACCCGGAGAAACTGGCTCCTCGTGCACTGAGAGGTCTCTTGCCATTGGAACATGTCTGTGTGTCATGTCAGTCGTTTTGTTTGTCTCGATTCTCGTTTTGAGTCGTTTCGGGTGCCTATAAATATGTTTAGGTTGTTTACCTTTTGTTTTTCTTTGTTGAGTCGTAGTGTGCTGTGTTCAATCGTAGGCTCAATACCCAGTTGAGAACTTATTCTCATTCTCAATTTCAAAAATGAATCGTTTTGTGCTCAGAGTGCCGTGTCGTTCTCCACATTTGTGCAAAACAAGATTTTGTTCTTTCAAAAACCGCAAGGTTCAACCCGCGTCATATGGGAACAATAAAACTAGGACCTATCTGAAGCTATATAGGTTCCAGACGTTGAAGCAAAAGAAAAAAAAAAGGAAATGTCGGGCATCTGAGTTTGTTTCAACTCTGCAAGTTCCGTCATCGCATGTTGTATGTTCAGAATGAGCTGTGTGTTCAAAATTAAAAGAATACTGTGTTATGAGCCATGTGTTCAGATCGAGCGGTGTTGTGTTATGAGCTGCGTGTTCAAAATGAAGTGAATGAGCTGTGTGTTCAGAAATGAAAATTTATGAGCTGCGTGTTCAGTATTAAGAGTGAGCTGCGTGTTCAACATATGAACTGTGTGTTCAGAATTGAAAAGTGTGAGCTGCGTGTTCAACATATGAGCTGTGGGTTCGGAATTAAAATGTGTGAGCTGCGTGTTCAACATGAAGTATATGAGCTATGTGTTCAAAATTGAAAAGTTTGGGCTGCGTGTTCAACTTTCAACAAGTGTGTGCTGCGTGTTCACAATCAAAAATGAGCTGCGTGTTCAGAAGTTCAAAAGTTTGGGCTGCGTGTTCAACTTTCAACAAGTGTGTGCTGCGTGTTCACATTCGAAAATGGACTGTGTGTTCAGAAATTCAAAAGTTTGGGCTGTGTGTTCAACTTTCAACAAGTGTATGCTGCGTGTTCACAATCAAAAATGGGCTGCGTGTTCAGAAGTTCAAAAGTTTGGGCTGCGTGTTCGACTTTCAACAAATGTGCGCTGTGTGTTCATATTCGAAAATGGGCTGCGTATTTAGAAATTCAAAAGTTTGGGTTGCATGTTCAACTTTCAACAAGTGTGTGCTGTGTGTCCACAATCAAAAATGGGCTGCGTGTTCAGAAATTCAAGAGTTTGGGCTGCGTGTTCAACTTTCACAAATGGGCTACCCACTTCCCTTTGGCTTTCTCTAGCCGCTTCTTCAACCCATCCAGGATGGTCTTGTTTGAGGCTTCTGCTTGACCATTTGACTGAGGGTAGGCCGGTGTTGAGTTGTAGAACTCGATCTTTAACTCCTCGCAAAATCTGCAAAAGAGTTTCCCATCGAACTGAGTGCCATTATCCGAGATGAGGGCCTTCGGTATACCGAAGCGAGTGATGACATTTTGCCAAACGAACTTCTTCACATCTTTTTCCTTTATGGTTGCCAATGGCTTGGCCTCAACCCACTTAGTGAAGTAGTCGATAGCAATGATGAAAAACTTACAGTTGCCCAAAGCTGTTGGGAGTGGTCCCACAATATCCAACCCTCAAAGCGCGAACGGCCAAGGACTTGTAAGGGGGAGCAACTCTCTGGCCGGCTGGTGGATTTGGTGAGCAAAATTTTGACATTTTTCACACCTGCGAACGTATTTTTGTGCGTCCGCCTGCATGCACGGCCACCAATAACCTTGGGAAATCACTCGGTAAGCCAAAGACCTTCCCCTAATATGACTCTCGCAGATGCCTTCATGAGTCTCAAAGAGGAAAGCTTCCACCTTGTCGGGGTGGACGCACTTCAGATACAGCCCAGTAAAAGACTTCTTGTATAAGGCCCCAGATGGAGAGAGCCAAAACCACTCTGATTTGGCCAGGATTTTGTTGGCCGCCTTCTTTTCTTCTGGTAGAATTTTATCTTTTAGAAAGGTGATGATAAGGTCCATCCAGGATGGTCCCAGGTCAGCGCAGAGTACTCCAGACACTTCTGGTTCCTCAATGCTTGGCCGAGGTAGGAATTCTATCATCAAAGGATTGGGGAAAGTTATTTGTGTGGATACAAGGCCGGCCAGTTTGTCAGCTATGTTGTTTTCTTCGCGATTGATTTGTTCCACTCTTATTGCGGTGAACTTTTTGATTTCTGCACGTACCAGCGCCTGATATTTAGCCATTCTTTCATCCCTGGCTTCATACTCCCCAAAGACGTAATTGACCACTAGCTTGGAGTCGCTGAATACCATAAGGGCCGACGCTTTCATTCTTAATGCACTTCTCAATCCGGCAAGGAGGGCCTCATATTTCGCCTCATTGTTGGACGCCGGGAAGTCGAGCGTAATTGCTTGCTCGATGACCAGCCCGTCTGGGGAAGTCAGTACGATACCCAGCCCGGCGCCATGTCTGTTGGAAGCCCCATCGACAAAGAGCTTCCACATCTCGCCAATAAATAACTTCCAGCAGTCGGTTGGGTTTTGGGAGCTTTTCAACTCCAAGGTACCAGTTGGTTCATTCTGGTCTCTTTCCATGTGTAGCGATAGGTTATCCGGCTTCTCCATCTCAGCTTTCAGTTGCCCCTCTTCTATTTATGATCCACCACTTATCCCCATTGCTTGAACCGGGGGTTGTGCCAAATCCGCACTAGCTAAATCAACCGGGCAAACATGATGCATTCTAGGGGCAAATCCCGCCACGAAGTCAGCAAGAGCTTGAGCCTTGATTGCGGTACACGGTTGGAACTTGATGTCGTATTGCCCCAATTCTACGGCCCATTTCAAAATTCTCCCAGTAAAGTTTACCTTTTCAAAGAGCACCTTAAGTGGAAACTCGGTTAGCACAACTACTGTGTGGGCATGAAAATAGTGTGCCAGTTTTCTAGAAGCCATCATCAGGACCAGGGCCAATTTTTCTAGTGGCAGATATCTTGATTCAGCCGGGAGCAAGGTCTTACTTATGTAGAAGATGGGAAGGTGCTGGGTACCTTCAGCACGGACTAGGACTGCGCTCACCGCATGTTGAGAGACTGCCAAGTAGAGATACAGTTCTTCGCCCGGTTTTGGTGTGACTAGGATAGGGGCTGAGGAAAGGTATACTTTTAGATCCGCCAACGCATGGTCACATTCGTCATCCCAGAAGAACTTGGTCTTCAAAGTTTTGAAGAAGGGCTGCAACGATTTAAAGACCGGCTTATAAATCTGTTCAGCGCGGCTGCCATCCCGGCAAGATGCTGCACGTCCTTCGTGGAGTTTGGGCACTCCAGCTCTTGTATTGCCTTGATTTGGGAAGAGTCGGCTTCAATTCCTCAATTTGTGACCAAAAAACCCAGAAACTTTCCGGTGCCAACTCCAAAGGCGCATTTAGAGGCATTCAAACGCAGCTTGTGATGTTTAAGTGTAGCGAACATCTCTGCTAGGTCGGCGAGGTGTTGAGACTTGTCCTTGCTCTTTACCACCATGTAATCGATGTAAGCCTCCATGGTGCGGCCCAGAAGGGGAGCGAACATCTAGGTTACCATCATTTGAAAAGTTGCCCCGACATTTTTCAGTCTGAATGGCATGACTTTGTAACAATACAGGCCTGTTGGAGTGGTGAATGAAGTGATCTCTCGGTCTGGTTCATACATGGCTATCTAGTGGTAGCCACGATACGCATCCGGGAAGCTAAACCTCTGATGGCCAGCGGTTAAATCTACCAGCTGGTTGATTCTCGGGAGGGGAAAGCTATCTTTTGGACACGCACGGTTGACCGTCTTATAATCAACGCACACCCGCCATTTACCGTTTTTCTTTGGCACTACTACCGTGTTAGAGATCCACCTTAGGTACTGTACTTCTTCTATCACATTTGCTTCTAGCAGGTTCATGACCTCCTCCGCCACTATCTCGACATGGTGCAAGGCCGAGGGTCGTGTCCTCTGGATGACCGGCAGTGCATTCGGGAACACATTCAACTGATGGCAAATGAAGCTAGGGTCGACGCTAAACATATTGTAAGGCGTCCATGCAAAAGCTTCTATGTTAGAAACCAAGAAGTCGACATATTCGAGTCACTCAGCGCTGGACAAGGGTAATCCCAAAAGAAAGAACTTAGTTGGATTGTTCTCGTCGATGCGTACCTTCACCAAATCTTTAATCGGTTTCTCCTTGGCTTTTCTTCCTACGTCTTCCAGGACTTCCTTTCCTTCTGGGCCCTCTATTATTTGAACGACGCCTTTGGCGGCTCGGCTGCCGTTCACCGCAACGAAGCACTATTTTGCCATTACCTGGTCTCCCCAAACCTCTTCTACCTGCCCGGTTGGCGTCGGGAAGTGCAGAACCTGATGGCAGGTCGACGCTACTGCTTGCATGGCGTGCAACCAGCCCCTGCCCAAGATTAAGTTGTAGGTGGATGGGACCTTAAGCACCCAGAACTCTACTTGCTTCATGACTGAACCCGCTTTGACCGGCAATATGATCTTTCCTATCGACCATTCTTGTTAAGAATTGAAGCCAACCAAAGGAGACGTTGCAGGGGCTAAGTCCTTGTCCTCCAACTTCATTTGTTTGAACGCGTCATAATACATGATTTCAACTGAACTCCTCTGGTCAATTCTTTTGATGTCGAAGTCTTTGACACGAAGAGTCACTACTAGGGCGTCATTGTGGGGCACTTGAATTCTCTCCAAGTCCTTACTTGAAAATGTAAGGATATCTTTTTCTTCAGTCTTTCCTTTCTTCACAGCGGGCTGAACGGAGAGCACCTCCCTCATGTGCTCGGCTTTCTTGATCATCCCCCTCAGCTCGCAGACCCATGCCAGTTCAATGATGCCATGGATGACGTTGATTACGCCTTGCGACGCTGCGTTCAGGGCGCCTAGGCCGTTTGGCTCGGTTTGTCCCAGTGGAGCGGCTTTCATACCCCCATCTATGTATTGGTCCAGATGTCCCGCCGCCACCAGCTCCTCCAAATGTTGTTTGAGCGACAAGCAATCCTCCGTTTGGTGCCCCCGTTCCTCGTGGAAGGTGCAGCGATATCTTGAGTTGAAGCCTCTCTATGTACTCCCCAATTTGGCCGGCCAATGAACGAAAGGCTCACCTCGGATTTCACTCAGGATGCGGTAAATAGGGATTTTAAAAACCGTGGTAATACTTGTTCGCGCTTTCAATTTTCTCTTGGCATCTTCCTCTTCATCACGAGAAGCGTTAGCTCGGTCGTTTTTGCGACCTTTGCTTCTATCATCGCGGTTTGAGCCACGACGTTGATCTTTTGACCGGTCGCTTCGGCGGTTGTCCTCCTGCCCCACCAAGTGAACCTTCCCCGCCATTCTTCTATCCGCCGCGACCGGATTAGCCTTCTCGGTTGCGGAGGCGGCATCATCCTCCACACGGATGTGTTCGTTGATCCGTTGCATTAAGGACTCTATGGTTGCAGGCTGGTGCATTGTAAGTAAATCTCGCAGCCTATGTCCGACTAGAAGACCACGCTTGTATTGAGTAATCGCCAGATTGGTGGGGCAGTCGAGAATCTCATTGTAAGTTTTCCAGTACTTCGTATTGTATGCCTTCAACGAACCTCCAGACTCCATCTTGACGCCCAGGAGATGGTCGACCTCCTTTGGCGTTCGAGTGTTGGTTTTGAATCTGGTGATGAAGGCCTCCGCTAGTTGCTGTCATCCTCGATACTCCCCTTTGGAAGCCTTTTGAACCATTTCAGGCCCAGTTCTCCTAAGCTTGCTGGGAATATGAGGCATATCAAGGCGTCATTGCGCCGGTGCCCAGCCATTACTTGTCAGTAATGACTCACGTGCATGTACAGATCCGTCTTGCCGTCGTACAACGTGAACTTAGTTTGGTGAAATCCGGTAGGGAGTGGTGTACTCTTGATTTCTAGAGATAGCGGCGTAGTTGTAAGTCTCGCTAGCTCTTTGTCCACAAGCATTGGGGCCACCACTTTGTCCACAAGCACTGGGGCCACCACTCTAGGTGCTGGCATTGCCACTTCCTCACTACAACGGGTTTGGGAGCTTAGCCTCTGCAATGCCGACAATCTCTGAGGCTCCCTACAGCGAGCCCTCTCCTCCAACACATCTCTCAGGTCTCCCGAACGGGCGGAAAAAGAGTATCGCGATGTCGACGATGGGCGTGAGGGATGATAGGTGTTGTCGCGAGTGTGAGATTTGCCCACCTGTGGGTCAGAGTCCCCGACCCCATAGCTTCTGGTGATAGAGAGAGAGTGCATCCTTTCTTGGCGGCGACTGCCAGAACGAGGAGACGGGGTGCGCTCACTGAGGCTGCCCTCTCCAGCAACACCCTTCCCTTGATCTGGCGTTTTAGCACCTCCATTTCAGCCGCCATCTTGCGAATGAGGGCGTCCTAGTCTTTAAGTTTGTGCTCCAGGCGCTGTGCATGCGACTCCCCCCGCCGTCGACGGCCCTCTGGACTCTTTGAGCGATCAATACTCCTTGCGCATTTGTCTCGCGCACCTCTCGAAGAGGTCTCCAGGCCCGCCATGGCTAGAACAGCAGAGGGCCTTCTCTTCGTCGAACAGACTCTGGCATGACACCATCGACGACGGACAGTGGAGTTTCATCGTTGTTAGCCATGGAAACGGTCAAAAAAGCTTGAAGAGCAAGGTTTGTGTATCCAAGTTTTCCGATAAACGGCACTAATTGTACGGGGGCAAAATATCCTCTGTTCTTTGTACTCCTTGAACTCAAGCTCCACGTAATGTCGCCTGGCCTGAAAATAGAAAGATGGTGAACTGCCCAGCGGTGTGTTGCCGAATAGTCCCTTCGACGATCAAGTTAGATCACTTGAAGAAGAAGAAAATAACACTTTTTAGAGAGAGAGGGAGAATTGTTCAAATTGCTTACCTCCAACGTCCCCCATTCCTCATTTTTCTAGGCTGGCCATGCAGCCTTAGGGATTGTGCGTGCACTACCTCTGCTGTTTTTCCCTGGACAGCTGGCAGTGCTCCCCTCTCACTACCTTACGTGTGTAAAGGCTAAAACCTCCAAACAGCATGTGTGCAACTGCCAAACGGTATTGACGCATGCCAGGAGTGGATTTTCCCTTCATCACACCTTAGGTCCAGGTGGCACACTCAACCGGGATACCTTGACCGACCTATCTCTTGGAAAGAAACACCACCATGACCGGGATGGCCAAACTGTAAGAAGTCGGCCCATTCGAACTGACCAGTCGTGGGACGTGCCGACCTTCGTCTCGGTCTAAATTTGTTCCGGGCTGTGCTTGGCTCGGTCTAGACGCACCACTGCGGATCCAACCGAGTACCTAGTCGAATCACAGCTCGGTCGGCACATTCATGACTCCACGCTCCGGTCAACAAATCTAGCTCAGCCTGGCGTAACGGGCCGGGGAACCGCTCCGATTTAGTTCGGTAGGACATAGTCTGGTTCTCGCAAGGTTCGTTATGACTCGAGTAATTGTAGCTCGGCCGTATTTATCCGGCGCAAATCTCCCTCTCAATTGCCCCTTAATCCTATCCGAGCTGAGCGTGATTGGGATTATCGCCATAACTGAGCTATCCAATTTGGCCGGTCTTCTGAATTGCGCCAATAGTCTCATCAATAATCATTCGGCCGTACTAACAGGCCGTCTTTTCAATGCTACGTGACCTCACGCCATTGGTTCCGTGCAGACCCACAATTGTCTTTGTCACGCGCAAAATTCAAACATCTGCCGCCCTTTAGGTTTCCCACTCTTTTTATACACATGCGAGGGGTCCTCCATGCCCCTACTGTTCACCTTCCCCCTAGAGCCAAACCCTAGCCTTCGAATCGTCAAGCTTTTGCCACCGCCGCCATTGCTGCTGTTCATCTCATTTTTGACCATCTCCGTCCTTTCAGAAGCTGCAAACAAGCTCGTGATCGACTGATCTCTGCTTGGCATCCAATATCAGTAAGTTTTTCTACCCCTACTTCGTATTTTCCATTTGCGTTCTTCAAGTTCCTTATTTGGGACTGTTGGTACTCTACCAGTCCCCTCTTTTTGGCGTAAAACTGGTACACACGAGGGAAAACTGAAATTAAAGAAGCGGATTAATGAAAAAAATATTTAATAATTATTTAATTTAACAGTTATTAATAAATCTCAAAATATGATCTTGTAAACGGTTTAGTCTTCCATTTTTTCTTATGAACCCAAAAGTTCCATTAAAGTGTAAAGGGTTTTTCAAAAAGTGAAATTGCACATTTGGGCATTCCGCACTATAGAAGGTTTGAATTTTTCCTCATTCTAAAACAAAACTCACATTCAAAACGAGAATATAACACTCTAATGTAATACTCCAATAATGTAATACTCCAATATAACACATTAAAAAACACTTTAGTGCACTTTTTCTAAACGAAATAACATAACACTTCAAACTTTTTCTAAACATAACACTCCAATGTAACACAATCTAATATAACACAAAAAAAAAAAAAAATCTTTAGTGTACTTTTCTTAAATGCAACACTCTAATCAATGTAATCCCAAACGGAACACTCCAATGTAACACCCAAAAAAAAAAAAAAAAAATTCCTTAGTGTACTCTTTGCAAACGTAACACTCTAATCAATGTAAGACCAAACGTAATATTCCAATGTAACACACAAAAATACTAAAAAACTTCTTAGTATGCTTTTCCAAGCGTAACATTCACAGTTTAAAATTATACATTTGCCCAAAATTTACTATGGAATTTTTGTACTCCTTTTCGAATGGTTTGAAAAATCTCACATCGTTTTTTTAGAGTGTTATGTTTGGAAAAAGTACACTAAAGAGTTTTTTTGAGTGTTATTTTAGAGTTACACTAAGCAGTTTTTTTTTGAAGTGTTACGTTTGGAAAAAAATATACTAAGAATATTTTTTGAAATCTTACATTAGAGAGTTGCACTAAGGAGTTTTTTTTTAGAGTGTTACATTTGAATGTTACGTTTGGAAAAAATATACTAACGAGTTTTTTTGAAATCTTACATTTGAGTGTTACGTTTGGAAAAAAGTATACTAAGGAGTTTTTTGGAGTGTTACATTTGAAAAAAATATATATATATTATGGAGTTTTTTTTTGAAATTTTATATCTGAGTGTTACACTAAGAAATTTTTTTTAGAGTGTTTCATTTGAGTGTTACGTTTGGAAAAAAAGTATACTAAGGAGTTTTTTTTAGAGTCATGCATTGAAGTATTACATTTGAGTGTTATATTAGAGTATTACAATTTAAATTATTTGTTTGTCTAAAACTTACTAATGAGTTTTTTTATTCATTTTGAAATATTTGAAGAATCTCATATTTCAAATCATTTGTAATACTTTTGAAATATTTAAAAAATCTCACATTTCAAATCATTCCAAATAAAAAAGATTTCCATATAAAAGTTAATCCCAAATTTAATTATCATAAATTGTATATCTTACATTTCTAGCATAAAAAGGGGAAAAAGAAAAAAAAATAATAATATAAATAAGAGTATAACCATAAATCTAATTTTTAAATAATATATTAAATCTCCTTTTCAAAATTAATGAAACTAATTGATCTATAAAAAAAAAAAACTCTTGATTAAATGGATTACCGATCCTAAAAATGATATTTATAAATAAATTTTCCTTAAATTTTTAAAAGACATTCATAAAATAACAAAAAATGACAACGTACCCATCAAATGAGATATATATTTTAGAAATAAACAGATATAAGTAAAATCATTGTTGCATTCAATGAAAGTTCCATGTGTTCAAAGCACAATTGATATACATATTTATAAGTGTAAATTAAACTTTCATGAAATTTTGAGTACGATTTTTATATAATTACATTGAATTTCTTTAATATTTTAATTCAAATAACACTTTATCATTTTTATCAGTAATTCATTAATCATACAAACTAAAAATTGATATTATCATATTTTTTACACTAAAATGTAAATTTTTCCTTATCTATCTTTATATCTATACATTATCTGCATTAGTCAATCACTTTAACATTACTAAAAATAAGATTAATATGATTATGTTAAATTTGTGCAGCTTATTGTATTCTAGGATAGTTAGTGCTAACCTATCAAGGGATCAATCTTGATATTTTGAATCATTCATATTGTAGAGCTCACTAAGTATATCATCCTTACATAAAAACTAGATTTAATTAGATAACTATAGTAATATGATCAAATCACATTTGTTATAAAAAAATAAATAAATAGCAAGTGTAATTTTAATAATAGACCATTCAATGTTCTAAAAAACAAATGTAAGTTGTAGGATTAATTTTTTTCTTTTCATGGACGATTTACTTGAATAGCCCCACAATATGAATATCGTATGATCAAAGTAGGCTCACAAAGGCCTAATAACACCTATTGTTATTTTGAATATAACTTTAAGTGTGTCTATGATTTGTATTTTTTAGTAATTTTTGTGTTGCCTTTTTT